TGGAATCCACCTTTCCTCCACACTGCCCATTTTTTTCATTGTGCTGCAGTAAACGTCACATCATTTTCTGTCTTTGAAAAGGGAATAACTTTCTTTCACACTCACAACACTTCTCAAACTCTTCTGACACCAGATGTGTGGGATTTTTTTCCCCCACACTGACCGATTCTCTGATTCTCTGGACACCAGCTGGGTGTTCTACAATCCAGCTCAGCCTGACACTGCAGACCCCCACCACCACCACCATACCACCGCCTTCAGTCACCATCGAAAGTCCAGGTTGTCACTTGGGCTTCTTTTTACAACCCTCTCCTCAGGTCCGATCATTTGCTAGAGTGGCTCACAGAACTCAGGAAAACAGTGTATTCCATGATCAAAAGTTTACGAGAGATATTAAAGGCTACAAATGAACAGCCAGATGAAGAGGAGGCACATAGGGCAAGGTCCGGAAGGGTCCTGAGCACAAGCGCTTCAGTCCCCACGGAGTTTGGGGCACACCACCCTCCTGGCATGTGGACGCGTTCACTAACCCAGAAGCGCTCCAAATCACGTACTCAGGATTTTTATGGAGGCTTCATTGCGTAGGCACGATTGATTAACCCACTGTCTGTTGGGGATTAGTGTAACTGGTAGTCCCTCGCATCTCCTTGGAGTTTGGGGCTTTAGCGGTGAAAATTCCCACCCTCTAAACACAATTTAGTTCCCCTGGCAGCCAACCCCCATCCTGTGGTTATCTAGGGACTTTCCAAAAATCTCATTAATGTAAAGAGGGTATAGTTGAAAAGGGCTCACTTGTTATGAATAACAAGTGACGCTCCTTTCACCCTCATAGCTCTGGTGCTATTGCAGAAACAGGACAAGAGACCAAGTATTATAACAGAAGACGCCCCGATCTCTCTTATCACTTAGGAAATTACAAGGGTTTTAGGAGCTCTGTGCCAGGAATGAGGAAAACCAAGTATACATTCCTTATTATGAATCACAATGTCACAATCTTACAAATTCCTAATCAGTGGGTTCCACATAAATGAAAGTTCATTTTACTACCAAGAGTCAATATTGTTTGAAGATTTGACTGTCAAATAGGTGACTTAGATTCCACTGAAATTGAATGAGTACTTATTCTGTGTCAGAGTGCTAGGTGGTGTCTCATTTCATTTAACCCTTACAACAGCACTACAGATTCAGCTTGGTAATGGCATCTCTGATAAACAGATAAAGACCGTGGCCAATGAAGTTAGAAGTAACCTGTGCCTGGTGTCACAAAGAAACTAGAAAGTGGTACAACTAAGATTGGCACGCATGCTTCCTGATTCCAAAGCACTTTCTCGTAATTTCTATAAAGGAAGAGTACTAGTAATGGGGATATTTTACTAATGACCTAGATTAATAACAAACACAAATTTGGGAAGGCTTTGATCAGTATCAGCCTAGGCCTAATGCAGATCTTCCCAGAGAGGTGGAAGTAAAAGTTTTCAAAGATACTATATTATGTTTACTCCAAAACTGCAGTTAGATCTTGGAGCTACTTATAGCAGTTTTGCCTCTCTCGTTTGAATCTGTGCTCCCTAGCTGCTTTCTCTCTTCATTCCTCCCCTGACTCCTACCCTTCCCAGGTACACAGGCTTTTCTTCACTTCCTTTATTTATCACCCAGCTTAGCCTATCCTCGCTCCAAGCCTGTCCACCTTTAGATTTTCCTCCTTTTCGCTGTGTTATCGAAAACCCTTATTCCTTGCTAGGAGACTACATTCTTAAGCTTTTTCATAGATGTACCACTTAATCTTTTGTTGTATAACAAGACACCCAAAACTTAGTGGTCTAGAACAACGATGACTTATTATTTCTAACAATTATGTGGGTTGGGCAGGTGGGCTCTTCTGGGTTCACTTTCAGCTGGAAGGCCTGCTGGGTGCTGGGCACAGCTGGAGTGGACTGGTCCTGTCTCCCTGTAGGCTTTCATCCCGAAGGAGGCTAGACTGGGCTTCCTCTCAAGGCGGTGGCAGTAGTCCAAGAGGGCAAGCACTTGTTTATCAGGCCTCCTTTTCTAATATTACATGGCCAAGCTCACTTTCGTTTGTTAAAACACAAAATTCCACCTGGCAAATCTTGAGATCTAATCGGCTTTACTAAGTGATTCATAAATCGGGCAGCACCCCATCTAGCAACTAGAAGGGTGCTCCAAGGGGTCCATTGTACAAAATGGGAGGTTTTTATACACAGACAGAGCCTGGGCTAAAAAGTTAAGAGTGGATTATTCCAGGCAAAGACACCTTCCCTTAGGGGAAGGCAGGGGGTCTTATCAGGCAGATACCTCACTAGTGTGGATCAGGCAATTGCAGACTGACTGATTTAAAATTCCACTCCTGGGAGAGGCCAAAAGGGCAGTTAGGTTAAGAATTAAATCCAGGTTTGGGATCATGGGCTTGTAGCACAGGTGACACCATCTTGAGCCTGTGGGTTTTTTTTCTTTGTAACACATTGAAGAATATTCTCCAAGGGTGTGGATGTTGAGATTCTTTGGGGCCATTATTGTAACAGTCTACTATAATAGAATACTTCACTGACCTCCTAAATTGCCATCTAGAAAGTGCTTTTCCTGTAATTATCCTGTTAACTAAATAATTGCCTCTAGGTTGAGTCTCATTATCCTTTGAGATATTTTCCCATATCTCAAAACCAGGGGGCAGGGTTGTTAGAGCTCTCAAGTCCCAATGTTCTCCAACCTGTCTTGGCAAAACCCTCCTCTCTCTGCAGTATGTGGGGTTTTTTTGCGTTAATTTGATGTATTTCTACCCCTTTATCATACTGATCATCATTTTGTGTTGTCCTGTGCCTTACTTATCCTAGTGTTCTTGTATCCTTTTACATTGCCTGACAGGCACTGTATACAGTTAAAAGTTTAGTTGTGGTCCTTGCTGTAACTGGCACCAAAGATTTTCGTTTAGAAAGCTTGCAGGCCTCAAATGTCTGACCAGATAAATTTAAGATACACCTCTTTTAGCTTGTACAGGTATTATTAGTTTCCATTGCTTCCTGCTATCTGGTCCTCTTAAACTATACTCCTGCCGGAAACTTTCTTTGTCAGAGGAGGAGAGAAAATTCCTTTTGTTTTTAACAACTTCTAGGTGAACAGCAGCAACAGGCACCCTAAAGGCTTGAGCAGTTAGAGGTGAGCCCGGCTTGAGACAAATCTCCAGGGTGTCGCTGCTTATCTTGTTTCTTGCCTCCCTCCCTTTCGCCATCCCCTAGGAGTGTAAGTTTATGAGGAATGGGGTGTTTTTCTACATCCTCAACACCTAGAATAGTACGTGGAACATAGAAGAAGGTACTTAATTAATACTTGTTGAATAAATAAATGAACGGGATAAAAATGTCTAAGATATTTCAAGTAAAAACCAATTACTAAAAGTGTGCGTAGTGCAATCTATTAGTATTTTAAATATTGTATAAAATTTCTCAAAGGATACACAATGAACTGTTTCATAGTGATCCTCTCAGCTGGGAGGGGAGGGGAATAAGTAGAGTGTAAATCAGGAGACTTTAATTTATAATCTCGAGCATATGTAATTTGTATAATATGTTAATTTTAAAAATAAAGACTTTACAAATCAAAAATATCCAATATAAATATGTTGTGTTTTTTCCTTTATAGAGATAGATAGATGAAGAAATGGCTTGAGAGACTATGCATGTGTGTGTTATGTGTGTATAATATAGTAAATACAGATGTCATATATAAAATGTTCTATCCTATTTTTTTTAGTTAGCACATATATCAGATTTTTTTTTTTTTTTTTTTTTAGCTGAGCCATCCTGCTACCTGTTGGCAGCTCAGCGGCTGCTCAGCTCGGGCTGGACTCGAACCNTTTTTTTTTTTAGCTGAGCCATCCTGCTACCTGTTGGCAGCTCAGCGGCTGCTCAGCTCGGGCTGGACTCGAACCGCTGTTGCTCAGAGCGCAAACTCTTGAGCAATATCAGATATTTTTACATCATTAAAAATTATTAAAGTTCAGTTTCAATGAAAATTGGATTGGATGGGTAAAAATTATACTTTCTGTATTGAACATTTTACAGTTATAAATAAGACCCCTGGAAACAACTTTATTCATAAATCTTTGTGATGCTTTGCTGATTTCTTTAATAAAGATTCATAGAGGTCGTGTTACTTGGTTAAAACATACTCCTGATATCATTACAAGAAATAAACAATTGAAAATAACTGGGAGTCATATGAACCTTAAGTAAATTGGCTTTCTGGACAACACTTCCTGCCATTTTCCTAATTCTTTGCAGAGAACTGCAGCATTTAGAAGTATCTAGTCTGCTCAGTTTTACATAAAGTTTAGCTTAATGATGTTCATACTTGGTATATTATATATATATATATATATATATATATATATATGGTTGTCAGAAAAGTCATGACGCATTTTTGCAATGAAAAACAGAAAAAAAACATCATGACTTTTCCGACAACCCAATAATATAGCGATTATTTATATATAATTTTCCCTCTTCAGTATTTGATTTTGAATAGTTTTAGTTTGAGAGGAGATTAAGTGATATTTTTAATTAATGCCCTCAATAATATTTGAAAATGGTTAACAGAGTACAAGTGTGCCTCGGAATATTGCGGGTTTGATCCCAGACCCCCGCAATAAAGCGAGTCGTTAGCATTTTGCTGGTGGAGGGTTTTGCCTTCACCTTGTAAAAAATGCAACATCTGTGAAGTGCTGTAAAGTGGACCACACTACAAAGAGGTATGCCTATATTTATTTAGTTTCTTAAACTGACCTATTCCCTTTAGGGAAATTAAGTCATTAAAGGCTCAGTGACCCTGCAAAGCAGTGTACTATAGGTGTGCGTGAATTACTTTGCATTATGAAAACAGCTTTTCCTGAAGAGAGAGACACTAATTAAGACGTGTAATAAACCACCTTATATTTCACTGTCATTTGTGTTAATGCCTGGTCTTTTGTAACTCTGCCCTGTTCACAGGTCAAAGTGTTGCACAACCAGCTGGTCCTTTTCCACAATGCCATTGCCGCTTACTTTGCTGGGAATCAGAAGCAGCTTGAACAGACACTTAAACAGTTCCATATCAAATTGAAAACTCCTGGAGTGGATGCCCCATCTTGGCTTGAAGAGCAGTAAATTCACTCCTGGAAAAAAGAAAGAAGCAAAGTCACATTGTCATATTTCTAAACAAACCTAATAAGAATTAAGCAGAGTTGGGGGAAGGAGGAAGGGTGACAACCATTATAGAGATTCTTGCACAAACAGTTTTAATTTTTTCCCTTTTTCATATTTTAACAATTAAAACTGTTAAATTTGACAGGAATGTGGGTGGTTTTAATCTAAGCATAATTTCTATAATCTGAACACACACAAAAATTTTCCTTTTTGAGAAATCCTTTTGTATTGTGAGGGTTGATGGCTATTTCTGTAGTTTGAAAACATCTCATATAGATTTGCACTGACCAGATAAAAATTCAAGGCTTTTGGTCCTGGAAATGAGGGCCAGTTGTAACTTTTCCAAAGGGAGGTTTACATGATTTGTATCAACATCAGATATTTTATATATGAATATATTAAACGTCTTTAAGAGATTCATTTTCATGTATTGTCTTAAAGAAAAAAGAACCTATTTTGCAGAGTGAAATTATATGGTGTTCCTGCGGCATCCACACAGAGATGGCCGCTCTAATGAATGATTGGCTTGTGGAGCTGTGGCAGATACCTTTTCAGAAATGAATCTGTACCACCGTAATTTTGTGTAGACTTTTTTTTTAAGACGCAGGAATCACACTGTCATTTCTATGAGGCTTTTGAGCTTACGGATTTGCATCATCCAAAGTCACAGGACGGTTATGTTAGCAGTTTCATTTGATTCATAATGAAACCTGCTTCAGAGAATTTTTTTTTGACAGGTAGACTTGGGAATAGAAATTAATTTTTTTGGTAAATTCCATTTTGACAGAAGTGAACTCCTAGACAGCCTTCATTGACTTCCATGTGTAACAATACCGGTTAAGCCTTAAATCACAGGTATGTGCCTTCTCAGATGAAGTAATTCTCATTCAACCAATGTACATAATCCATAAGGAAACCCCTTTCAGATAATGTATGTGTCTGTTCCTTCCTCGAAAAGGAGCACTGTGTGTAAATGTTGGGTTTCTTTGTATTTGTTAAACCACGTTTAGGGTTTATGGTGAAATCAACTTTTGAATTTACGGTTTGGTTTTTCTTCATTCCTCTTGTGGAATGGGAAGACGAAAGAATTTTTTTCATTTGAGTAATGGAAAGGCGATATGGACATTGTGGTGGTAAGAAGAAGAAGGGGGTTGGAGAGGCCAGTGCTGTTTTAGTTGCTCAGCACTGGTTTTGTGTTATGTGGTTGGCTTGTCAGCTTTGTGGTTGCATCAGGAATGTAATCCTTTTTAAATATAAGTTCTTTTGATTTTTGTCATAGACATTAATATTTTGAGAGGTATCCCTTCATCTGTTCATTTCTTTTGTGTTGAAATGAAGTACTTAAAATTACTGTTATACATGAACTTTGTGGACTGTAAGATTTGTTATATATGTTCAAATGCCTTCTAGCTGGCTTTTAAAATAATATGCCTGTTTCCAGTGCTTAATACAATGTAATGTGATTGTAAATCATAAACCTGTTTCAAATCATTCCCTCCTGTATATTTGTATTCTGAAAGAGCCTTATTTTATTCTTCCAGCAGAATTACTACTTGTGATAGTGCATTTACAGTCCCCAGAATGTGCCTCTGGTGTGAATTTTGTATTCTTATTAAAAGTGTTTGCTGCAGTGCCTTGCTTCTCTGGCTATTCATAATTTAAAATAAGCAGTGACTCGGAAATTCTGAGACAAAGGATTTGTCTTTCCTGAACTTTAAAAACAATAACAAAAAATGGTGCTTCTGTCACTTATTTCAGTAAGCTGTTCTTTTCCCTCAATTGACATCTCTTTTGGGAGAACATGTTTACTCTTACCACATTTGAGTAACAATTATAGTAGCTAAGGAATTAAATAGTTTCATGAATTGATGTTTTTTTCAGAGTAAACTAAAAATATTAGTGATTCTGAGTCATGGGTCCATGTGCAAAAGGAGTAAGTAAATTAACACATTAGCCAGTAGTATACAAGGTGAGCTCAAAAAATACGGTGAATGTTTAAAATTTTAAAAAAAGTTATTACAGTAAAACACATTGCCATTAATCCCCCTCAAAATAACCCCCCCCCTCACTTTGAACACACTTATCCCATCATTCTTGCCACTTTCTGAAGCAGTTCTAGAAGTCCTGTTTCATGAATGTCTTTAGTTGCGCTGTTGTGGCTGCCTCAATGTCCTGAATCATTTTGACTTTGGGGAAGAGCCAGAAGTCGCACGGTGCCAGAGCCGGTGAATAAGGTGGATGGGGACACACCGTAATGTTTTTATTTGGCAGAAATTGCTGTACCAAAAGCGATGTGTGACACAGCATTGTCATGATGGATGAAGTAAAGACATTCACAAAAGAGGACTTCCAGAACTGCCTCAGGAAGTGGCAAGAATGACGGGATGAATGTATTCGAAGTGAGGGGGAGTATATTGAGGGTGATTAATGGCATAGTGTCTTTTGCTGTAATAAATTTTTTTTATTTAAACATTCACCGTATTGTTTGATTGCACCTCGTATTTACTTTGTTAAGAAAGTAATTCATATTCATTGTACAAAAAAATTAGAAGTTAATTTCAAAATAACTTCACAAGTCAATAAGTACTGCATGGAACTACCTAACTCCCATGAAGTTAGATATTTTAGTTACCAATTACTTATATTATAAACTCTAGTTTGCATGTCCTTTAACATGCATGTATTCATCTTTATACTCTTACCTAGTTATTCACTTAAATTAGATTCTTAGATGTGAAAATGAGCCCTCAAAGTTTTACATATTTTAAGACTTTGTTATGTATTGCCAGTTGGTTTTCAAGAAAGATTTCATCAGTTTATACCTCCCAAGAGCATACACACATGCCTGTTTAGCGTGTTTTTAAAGCCAGTATGCATAAAAGGACATAAAGTATATAACCATCAGAACATCACTTTATAAATGTTTTAATTGGAGAGGGGAAAGCTGTCAGGAAGATAAAGATGAATAATCCAGATTTGGGGAGTTGTGGAGTGTGGGGCAGAGAAATAGTTGACTTTGCTCTTATTAAAATAGAAATTATTCAAGAAAAAAATGCACTGAAGAGCATGTCTGTGAAATTGAATTCTTCATCCTGTTAAAAATAAACTGAGGCATGTTAAAAATTTTAAGAATTTATTTGAGCAAAAACTGATTCGAATCAGGCAGTGCCAAACCGGAAGTGGTTAGGAGCCCTCCACCAAGAGGAGCTAGGGGAAATACTTTTATAGAGAAGAGGTGGTGAAAGCAAGGCAAGGAAGTTATTTAATTGGCTGAAGCTTAAGTGGTTGGGGAAAGGCAAAACTGGCTATTTGTGATTGGCTGTTTTGATTTCTTAATCTTGAGGCATTTCAGACTTACTAGGCTACTAAGGCCTTAAAGGCACCTCAATCTAACGGTCCCCTTGATTAGTTAATTTAACAATCCTAAAGCTTCCAAATCTAGGGCCCAAGAAGGACCACAGCTTGCAGAGTTAAGTTAGCTGAAACCTAGACTTTAAGAAGCATCTTTTCCATACTCAAAGCACTGATAATGTTACTGAAGCTTATCCCATAGTGTGAAATAGAAGGTTCCATAGAGATGATCTATTTAACACCCTTTTTTTACAGGTGAAGATAGGAAGGCCCCTAAATACACGAATTCCCCCTTTAAATCCTGCCATTTCAACCACGTAATTCAAACAATGTGTCAAAAGTGTTGTTTCTTCTAAAGTTAAATACAATGTGTATTCGATGTCTTCTTAGTTGGAAAAAAATAATAATCATCCATCCATCCCTAAATGGATTCATATTAGGTACATGTCAAAGTGTGTATGATGTTCATCTTTCAATCCACTGATCTTAAAGTATTCTGAAAAAGAAATCATGTGAATCTGGAAAGTGCTATATAAAGTAAAACTATGTATATTGAAAAGCTAAAGATGTGTCTTTTAAATCATGGGACTGTCAATTTGCAGAATAATGTTTCTACCTCAAAATGTGCTGTCTCCGTATCCTTACTGGAGATGACTGTAGGTGTGAAAAATAAAAGCAAATTACTTAAATTGCTAGTTCAGTGCAGCATTTGTATATAGTTTGTACTAATGTTTGTGAAGTACTAAGAGTGACCAATTTTGTAATAATATTCCCTAATTTCTTTTGCCAGTAGCTCTTTTCTTCAACCTTTTGGGTTGCCTGGGAGAGTCGATACCATCTGAGGGCTTTCATCACTAAATTCTAACCAAATTTAGGCATTTTAAAAAATCTGATTTCCCCTGTAAGGTTACAGATTTTTATATTGGTGAAGACTGTCTGGTTGTGAATAGGCTATTTCCTGATTGAAAGGCCAGTTATATTTTGCATAGTTCAAAGCTTTTACAAGGGCCACAGGTCCTTGACTATTTTTACAATATACAAGTAGACCTATTAAAATAGAATGACAATGCAAACAACTTTCCTCTTTCGAGGACTTTCATTAAATTCTGTTCTATGTTCACACTTGAAGGTTTCCTGTTCAACAGGTTTCTTGGCATAAATGGGCCTTTATAATAAATTGCTAAGTGGTCCTCCTAATGTACAGGAAACTATGAAGTTCAGCTTTGTTTTTGTGGAATAAAGGTTGACTCTTAGTTACGTAAATTAAGTGAGGACTATTTGTTATTCTGGTGTTAACTCTGATATGGAAAGAGGAGACCATCCATATGAGGAAGGGAGATTAGACCCAGTCTGAGAACTAACTCTGTTTCTGTGCAGTCAATTGATTAGTATATTATCAGCGCTGGGAATTTCAGTAACATTTTTACAAATGAAATTTCCACAAAAATCAAAACCACGGTTTGTTTTGCTTGGGCCTAAGCTAGGCTTGGCCATAAGCATCCTCTGTTACAGATTGTGACCTTTCTGCAACTTTGTTTTGTCATGAATTGTCGATTCATAAGAAAGAGGAACAAGATACCTTTTTGTTGATCTTAGACAAAAGTAACTCTGCATGGCTTAGACTTTCATATCTTGCTTTTGGTACAGGTATATGTGTTTGCATAAATATCTTAAGAGTGAAATGTACACCTTGCTGGCATGGGGACACATAAGGAAGAAAAATGTAAACCATATTACTTTGCACCACATCTTGGAGTCTAGCTATTGAAGTTCTAAAGAAAAAGCAACGTCTTGCCGTAAAAAACTTTTTTGTCTTTTTCAAATGGATGGAAGTATTATGGGAGAAGGAGAGGGAAGCTAACTAATCTGGTTTAGCCTTCCTGAGAAGTGTTAAAACTAAGTTTTCGGGATAGTGAATAAAGAACTCAAATTATACATGTGAATTTATTTTTATCCTCCACCTAAGTTATGTCTAATTCTATGTTAGGAAGCTTTTTGAAAAACTTACAGGTGAAGTGGCATGATGTCTGCAATTTACTTTTAAATAGTTCAGCAACAATACATACATTTATACATACATAGGAGAGAATTGAATATGGAGACACAGCTGGCAGAGAGAAAAGGGAAAGAGAAGAGGTCTTAGTAAATATGGCAATATGTTAATTATTGAAATAGGAGGGTGGTTGTGTGGGGTTTCATTGTACTAGTCTCTTAACTTTTCCTTCTTTGAAAGTTTTCATTATAATTAAAAAAAGAATTACTAGGACATTTGATCCAGAAATACAGGTAGTTTCCTGCTAAGCTTTCCCTCTTGCACCAAAGTGGCAATCAAACTTTTTGTGGTACAGCCAATGACACCACTGCTTCACTCCTGCAGATATCGGAATCCCTCCTCTATCAATAGTAACATGTGAAAGAAATTGGTTTGTACTGGGAAACACAGAAATTAAGGAAAGCTTAAAGTTGAACAGTTTTCTGTTTTTCAGTAAAGATTACAGAAATGGCAACTGAAATAGCAGAAGTAGCTTAGGATATGAGACTAGTTAGAAAAAAGAAGTCATGTAGGAATGACATGCATCACTAACTACATTTCTTTCCTCCTTTTTTCCTCAACTTTTTAAATAGCTATTTGAAACTATAAGGGAACTTAAACTCAAAAGTAAAACACTACTGTATTTTAGCTACAAATGGATTCTTCTATCTCAATTATTCTCATAAATAAGCAAATGCTACTCTAGATTTCTTAAAACTTAGCTGTTCACCCCGATTCCTCAGCACTGTTGCCCTGCCCCAATTCCCCCAATAAAAATCTTTTAAAAAAACTTAGCTGTTCATACCTTCAATTATAACTTAGACTGCTTACAATAAAATATATTTAAACATTGGTAATTTTTAATAACTTATTCTCAATCTAAAAACATGTTTTATGAGCTGGCCAAATTTTCCTTAATTCACACTTCTTAATAAATTAGCTTAAATCTTTAAAGAACTACCCCCCCAAAGAAATAATGGATGTTTATTTACATTGTTCTCAAATTCTGTTTCCTGTTCCCTCACCCCTACCTTAGATCAGAACAAGGAAAATCCAGTGGAATAAAATTTTCTAACTAGCTTACATCAATAATAAAGCGGCAAAAAAGCCCAGGTGATGTTTTGAGAATTGAGTTTTTACCATGGCAATGGTTACTATATAATCACTGGTACTATCAAGTGACTTGAAAAAAAATCTAGGTTTCAACGGTCATGAGTATTTACTAAATGACTGGTCGACTTACTGGTG